ACTAAACTACTTTTCATTTAAATATGGATAAATTACATAGTAACCCCTCAGGTTTGAAGTTTATTACAACCTCATACAATATCTTTAAAACATTTCACTTTCATACCTCAAGTACTATTTTATTTCAAAATAATATCCGTTACATTTTCTATCCATTGATCCGTTAAGTGTTGACGTGGTTGCCACATTTATGCCACATAGCTGCCAAATATGTGCCACGTGGTAAAAAAAATTTGAAACCCGCAACCCCCCCTCTGCATTTCTCTGCTGCTTCCCGTCTTCTCCCTCCCTCGCTGATCAAATCCAACGATCCAAACCCCCAACTTTTCTCTCCGCACCCCAAACCCCACTCTTCCCCCCCCCCAAAACCCTCAATCCACACCCACAAATTCCTAAATAGACAATCGCCGGCCTCCCCGCACAGTCAACGACCCTCGCCGGTTCTTTTTTCTGCGGTTCCCGCCTTACTGGCCCGCTGTGCGATTCCCGCCTCAACTGGCTCCAATGCGGCCCCTGCTCCTATTACTACCAGCAATCTGACCCAGTTTTCAACCCGGCCGGATCTTGCAGGAGTCGCAGAGCTTGGAGGGAGGAGAGGGAGGGGATGAAGGTCGGGGAAGATGGGTTGCCGATGAGTTCGCAATGGCGTGGGGGGGGTTGCGGGGGCGTCGGCCGTGGAAAAAGAAGGGAGGGAGGGTTGTTTGGGGGTTGCGGGGGTGGGGGGATGGGGTGTTAGGGTTGCAGGGAAAGGGAAGGGCTTGGGAAAAAGATAGGTTTTTTTTTTGAGAAGATTCAATTTTTTTTTTAAATTAAAAAATTATTTTTTGCCACGTGGCATATAGGTGGCAACCACGTGGTACAAATGTGGCAGCCACGTCAGCACTTAACGGATCAATGGATGGAAAATGTAACGAATGTACTATATTAAAATAAAATAGTAAGTGAGGTATGAAAGTGAAATATTTTAAAGATGTTGTATGGGGTTGTAATAGACCTCAAACTTGAGGGGCTACTTTGTAATTTACCCTTTAAATATATTAAATCAAGGATAATGTTAGGGAGTTCAAAATTTTAAAACTAAATGATGTGTCACAAATAAGAAACAAGCCTAAATGATGTGTCACAAATAAGAAACAAGCATGTTAATCGACACTTAATTAATAATCCAATCATCTACAGCCACATCATTTGATTTGCAAACTTGGTTTTAAAAAATACTTTTCGTTTAAACATTGGGTAAATTACAGTTTACACCCTCAAGTTTGGGTAATATTGCAACATCTTCAACATCTTTAAAACATTTCAATCTCATACATTACTTATTATTTTATTTCAATATCATACATTACGTTAAATTTTCTATTAGTTTACCAGTTAAATAATGGCGTGGAAATTATAGGGCTCACATGCATCTTATCATCCAATCATGCTTCGCCATGTGGCCATTAAGTTAAAAAAAAATTGTATGACAAGGAAAATGATTTTCAATATGCTTCCTTCTTAATATTTTTCTTAAAAAAAATTAAAAATTAAAAACAAACTAAAAACAAATATGTGCCTTTTGAAACATATTACCCAGAAAACAAAAATAGCTAGGGTTTTGTCTGCAAGTCGTTCCTCCGTTCCCGATCTCCCGAATATGCCGTCACACAAGTCTTTCATGATCAACAAGAAGCTGAGGAAATTGGTATTCCCTTTGTAGTTTAATTGTATTTCAAGTATTGGGTTGGACCAATTTTTGGAAAAAAGGGTGAACCAATCAAGTTGGAAACTTCCCTGATAAACCGCGATCTTCAACGCCAGCAGCTCCGATAGCCATGTCTACGCCTCCTACTTCTATCATAACCGCCACCAGCCTCACCGACTTGTGGTGGTCTAGAACCGCGCACACCATCGTCATCACATACCGTCCGTACAAGCTGAGGGCGCTGACGGTCAAAAACGTCATCAAGACGACCAAGATGATGAACATCAGACCCTCTGTCACCCAAAAAAAACCCAGTTTCGTCAACGACCGAAGATCTCAAAAAAGTGTAGACTCGCAGGATGAACCACATCATCGCTTAGAGAGATTTGGATTTGGATTTGGATTTGGCAGCAAAAAGATGATGGGTTTTGGGTTGGTTTGGGGAGATTTTTGCAGAGAGGGATTTAGATTTGGATTTGCTGGGTTTTGTTTCAAGCCATGGTGCGTGGAATTGTAGGGATTTGCAATGTTTGGTCCATGGCGAGGAAGGGATGAAAGGTGCAGGAGGGAGGAAGGTGCGTGGAGAGGAAGGGATGAAAAGTGCAAGGAATGAGGGAGGCAGGGGATGAAGATTATAGGGTGTGGGGCCCACTATTCTTCTTTCTTAGAATTATATTTTTATTTTTTTCTTTCCTAGAATTACATTTCCAAAAAATATATAAATATTTTGTCATATGTGGCATATTATGACTGCCATGTCAGCTAAGGGGTGGGACCTGTAATTGACACATCACCACTTAACGATTAAACTAACAAAAAAATTAACGGATGTATGACATTGAAATAAAATAATAAGTGATGTATGAGATTGCAATAGTACGTAAACATAAGGGTGTAAATTGTAATTTACCCATAAATATATTAAAGGGTAAATATCAGTTTACTACCTTCAAGTTTCGTGGTTTTCAACAATTGGTACATGAAGCTTTTTCGTCCCAAAGTCATACCTAAAGTGTTAATTTTGGGATAGTCTCATACATCCGTTAGTTTGACAGTTAAATCAGCCGTTAAATAATGACGTGGTGCCCACATGGACATGACTGAGAGCAACGTGTCAATATGGGGCCCACATAAATATTAAAAATTTTAAAAATTAAAAAAATTAAAAAAATTAAAAAAATTAAAAACTTTAAAACTTTAAAAAATAAAAAAATAAAAAAATCTGGGTGACCTCACCCCTCATGCACCCATCCTCCCTCCTTCTCCCTCCCTTCTCTTCCTGTGTCTCTAGCCCTTTCTGAAAACCAAAAACCTAAATCAAAATCCAAAACTTCCGAATTTGATTCAATAAAAAAAGAAGAAGACATCTCTCTCAATGTAAACAATCATGTTATCAGTCAACCATTAATATCTCATTTCATCATTTTCTTTGATGAGTGATATATCATATTCATTTCATCATTTTCTTTGATGAGTGATATATCATATGTGGCATCTAATTATCCTGTTAATCGGATTTAAAAACTTAGCTAGGAAAACTCGAACAAATAGATCACCAAAACATAAGTAATCACACTTTAATTATAACTTTAAATTATATTGACAAGGAACAAAAATAGTGGGATTTCAATATAGTTAAAATTTTAGATTTTGTGTTGTTGGAATACATGTGACATTAGTCTTTTATTTCAACGCTTCTACTCATGCCACATGTATTATACTAACACGAAAAGAAAATTTCACTATTTTTATTTCTTGTTAATATAATTAAAAGTTGTAATTATACTTTGATTAATTAAAAATTGTGGAACCTAGAAGGGTCTTGCAGTGTGGTACAAAATAACATGATTTAAATGAAAGTAGTGGGTTTGCCAAACGAAATGGACGGTCAAGATAAAGAAAATGAAACACTAACCATTCAAGTTTTAACATAATCGGGGTGCGGGACAAGTGTGGTCCCTGCTGTTTTGTTTTATTTATTTTTTTGTCATTAGTTAAATTTGGGGGTGTGGGGGCGGGGGGGGGGGATTCGAACCTTGGATGAGGTGGGAGTTTTCTTGGCTCTAATGCCACTGCACTAGGCCCCCATCCTCGAAAACGGTCCCTTTTACTTTGGCTGTCTACGCACTGTTTCACTTAATTCTACCTTTCCACAACTACGCCATTTGCCTGGGATTTAAACAAAGAAACCAGAAACGTAGCGGCGCCGCGCAGAGTACCAAAACTAGCGCCGGCAAAGCAGAGCGGCAGCAGCTAGCAGAGGGGCGAAAATCTGGATCTTAGGCATGAATTCCGACGACCGGAGGGGCGGCCGCACCTGCTCGCGCCTCTGTGGCTTCGCCACTTCGTGCGGTACGGATCCTGATCCGGGTCGGATGTCATTGGACGAGCCTGGGCTTCTTGGGACCGGTATTTGGGTCCGAGAGGCCCCCACCGAGGCTGACTCCGATGGTTTCGGTTATGGAAGAGAGCTGGGAGAGGAGTCCAGGCGGCTCAGCTCAGACCAAAGACTATTACAACTCGCAGCGGCGGTGGAGCTTCGAACGGTCGAGTTTCGATCTGTCCGCAACGGCGGAGGTTGATGAGATGAAGTTGGGATCAAATGCTAGAGTCTCCCCTGCCACTTCAGAGTTGTTCTATGGGGCCAAGCTGCTGATTACAGAGAAAGAATTGATGAGTTCGATGGGTTCGAATTCGAAGTTGAATTCTTCTGAGGATGATGAGCGTGCGGAGGAGGGCGGCGGCGTTGGGATTGGCACTGAACCTGTTTGTAAAAATGCGGCTTCGGAATCAACCAATGGGGAATGGGTGAGTGCAGACGAGAGAAGGAGTGATGGGGCCCAGAATTTTTTTTGATTTTTTGATTTTTTAAAGTTTTTAATTTTTTAATATTCATGGGCCTTATATTGACACTTGACGTCCAATTATGTTTACGTAAACGCCACATCATCAGTTAATAACTGATTTAACAATCAGACTAATAAATGTATAAAATTATCTCAAAATTAACACTATGACTGTTGGACGAAAAAAACTTCATGTAGCAAATGTTGAAAATCACGAAAATAAACTGATATTTACCCTTAAATATATTAAATCGAAGAAAAACGCTTTTCTGTTTACCCAAAAAAAAAGAAAAATGTTTTCTTTTTCTGTTTTTTGGCGGCCATCCGTATGCAGACCAAGTCCAGGGTTTTGAAGAGCAGAACTGTAAAAACTTAAGAACACTCAAGGTTTCTCTTCAATTGCATTACCCAATCAGTGATGGGCTGCATGTATTTATACTGCATTCCAGATTACATCAGGGAATTGAAATCCCTATTTACAAGGCTATTTGAAATTCAAAAATACAACAGAAAAATCAAACTTTGATGTACACGGAAAGAAATATTTGACTTGATCACGAACTCTTGAAACCGCACACAGACTATGACTTGGTCTAACAAGAACAACATCTTTTCAACTTTTCGCATTTTCTTGGGTCACCGAAATTTCCTTGAAGAAGGTGTGAAACCCATAAAGCATAATTTCCTTTTTTCGCTTTTGCCCCTTTGCATTGAGTCATTGACTTGGTATCGATCAGACCATTTATCGGTGATCCAGTTTGTAGATCTACTTGTGTTCTTGCATTCCTCTTAGTCCGAGCTGCTCGATCATCGCTGACCCGGTGCGATCGATTAATGGCTTCTTCTTCTTCTTCTTCTGGCCTTCGTTGGAAATACGATGTGTTCATCAATTTCAGAGGGGAAGACACTCGCAGGGGCTTCGTCAGCCATCTATACAGAGCTCTGCGTCAGAAACCACTCAACACCTTCATTGATACCGAAGAACTCAGAAAAGGCGACCGCCTTTCCGAGCTCCTGACAGCGATTCGAGAGTCAAGGCTTTCAATTGTAGTTTTCTCTCAAAACTATGCTTCTTCCACTTGGTGCTTGAAGGAACTCGTCGAAATTTTGGAATACAACGATAACAAGAACCAAATTGTGGTCCCCATTTTCTACGAAGTCGATCCATCCGATATTCGTAAACTCAAAGGAAGTTTCGCTGAAGCTTTTGATCGGCATGAAGGCCATTCTAACGCCAACATGGAGGAGGTGCGGAGCTGGAGGTCCGCCCTTACTCGAGCCACCAATTTATCCGGCTGGGATTCGCGAAACTATGAGTAAATTCTAATTTGCTTTACTTTCCTATTAATTTTTGTAACGTTTAGGCGTCACTTTTTGTTTTAAGTTTTAATTTTTAATTTTTAGTTATTTGAAATTAATAGATGAAAACTTGTGATGGGGCTACAATGGTATGGAATACTCAATACAAGTTTTATGCAAAACGATTGTAAAGACCCATTAGATCTCTATATGCAAGATCTAACTCATAATTTTTTATACTATTATATACCATGGAAGAAAAATTGAAAAACTCATTTAATAACTACTTTTAAAGAAACTAAGAATTCATGCCCAAAATTTTAAAATTCAAAATTTAGATTTAAAAAAAAAATGAAAACAAAATAACTATCAAAACGACCCATTAATTATTATTTGGTGGTGCTATTATAATATTTTTAAAATTTGACAGGGATGATGCAAAGCTTATTGAGGAAATTGTAGAAGATGTTTATAGGAAATTGATCCTCATCTCATCAACTTCAAGCAAAGATAATCCTTTGATTGAAATGGATTCTCACATGCATGAAATGCATTTATTATTACATCCTCCTGGAGTTGAAACGAATAATGTTCGTGTTGTTGGAATATGGGGTATGGGTGGTTTAGGCAAAACAACCATCGCTAGAGCTGTTTATGATGAAATCGCTTGTCAGTTTGAAGCTTGTTGCTTTCTTGAAAATGTCAAGGAAGGTTTCAAGAAGCATGGCCAACTAGATGTGCAAACACAACTTCTATCTAGTATCTCGAGCAACAAGGTAGGGAGTTCGGACATATCAAATAAAGGTTTCCAGGTGATGTCAAAAAGCCTTGGTCAAAGAAAAGTTCTTGTTGTTGTTGACGATGTGGACAAATTAGCTCAAATTGAAGCCTTACTCGGAAAACGGCATTCTTTTGGTGATGGAAGTAGAATCATTATAACAACTAGGGATGTACAATTACTAAGTGGAGCTGATGCGATATATAGGCCCAAGATTTTTAGTGATCGTGGAGCTCTGGAACTCTTTAGGCAGTACGCCTTTAGAACAAACCAACCCACCAGAGATTATGATGATCTTTCGAGGCTTTTCACACAATATGCTCAAGGTCTGCCTTTAGTACTCTCAGTCTTGGGAGCTTTTCTTGATAACAAAACTGTACACGAGTGGGAAGATGTGTTAGAAAAAATAAGAAAAATCCCGCAAAGGGGAATTTATGATGTGCTTAAAACAAGCTTCGAGACTTGTGCACTTGGTGCGATGGCAAGTGCCTTCGTCCATGAGCGGTAGGTCTCGGGTTCGAGACTTGGGAGCAGCCTCTCCATAAAATGAGGGTAAGGCTAGCCGACATTCACCTCTCCCAGACCATGCGTAAAGCGGGAGCCTTGTGCACTGGGTACGACCTTTTAAAACAAGCTTCGATGGACTAGATGACACAGAGAAGGACATCTTTCTAGATATTGCATGTTTCTTTAAAGGGATGAAGAAAGACTATGCAACCGAAATTCTGGACGGTTGTGGTTTCCATCCTCATACAAGAATAAGGGTTCTAATCGATCAAGCACTCATAACTGTCTCAGGGGAGGGGGAACTGGCGATGCATGATTCACTAGAGGAAATGGGCCGAGAAATCGTCCGCCAAGAATCTATCAGAGAGCCTGGGAGACGAAGTAGATTGTGGAGCTATGAAGATGTTCATCATGTGCTAACTCAAAATTCGGTTAGAAATATTTTTCTTATGCAATTTTTGGTAGAAAGCTTCAACTTTTGATCAAAATCTATTTCTTAGGCCCGGTTTACTACCCATTTTTGTTTTCAATTTGTAATTTTTAGTTTTCATTTTTTTAATAATTAAAAATTGAAAACAATTACCAAAGTTGAAAACTAAAAAGAAATGATTATCAAACTGCTCCTTAAGAAACAATCATTAATTTCATAATGTAAACTAAGGTTCTCTGTTTTCTTTTCTTTACTTTGATTCGCACAGGCTACAAAAGCAGTTGAAGGCATAATCCTGGATTTGTCGTGCTCAGATTGGGTATGCTTAAATGCTGAAGCTTTTGTTAGTATGACTCAACTAAGACTTCTCAAGATCAGTCACTCCATTTGTGAACATGATTACTGCAAACACCACCTGATTGGGCACTTCAAGTTACTTGAGTTGAGGTATCTCTCCTGGCTTGGATGCCCTCTTAAGTCTTTGCAATCTACCTTTCAATTCAAAAATCTTGTTGCACTTGATATGCAATATAGTCTCATTGACCGACTTTGGGAAGGAACCCAGGTACGTACAATCATTTACATGTATATGTTTCTTTTAAATGTTTGGGTTTTAAGATGTCTCATTAAGTAATGTATGTTTTCCTGATTGTTTTAACAGAAGCTAGAAAAGTTGAAGTTCATCGATTTAAGTTATTGTCAATACCTTAAGGAAACCCCTGACTTCACAGAGATGCCCAATCTTGAGAACCTAATTCTTCGAGATTGTATAAGTTTAGTTGAGGTTCACCTGTCTATTTCAACCCTTACAAAACTTGTGTTATTGAATCTTTTTGGGTGCAAAAAACTTAAGATTCTAGCCAACATCATGCGTATGAAATCTCTCAAAACCCTTGATCTGTCTGGCTGCTCGAGTCTTGAGATGTTTCCAGAGATTTCAGAAGTTATGGAGAAACTATCATGGCTTAGTTTGTCCGGGTCAAAAATTAAAGAATTGCCCTCGTCAATTAATAATCTCACGGGGTTGAGTGATTTGGCCGTAGTAGATTGCAAGGAACTTAAGAGTCTTCCAAGCAACATTCATATGAAATGTCTCAAAACCCTTAATCTTTATGGCTGCTTGAGTCTTGAGATACTTCTAGAGATTTCAGAAGTTATGGAGGAACTATCATTGCTTGATTTGTCCAGATCAAAAATTAAAGAACTGCCTTCGTCAATTAATAATCTCACGGGGTTGAGTGATTTGGTCTTAATAGATTGCAAGGAACTTAAGAGTCTTCCAAGCAGCATTCGTATGAAATCTCTCAAAACCCTTAATCTGTCTGGCTGCTCGAGTCTTGAGATGTTTCCAGAGATTTCAGAAGTTGTGGAGAAACTATCATGGCTTAATTTGTCCGAGTCAAAAATTAAAGAACTGCCCTCGTCAATTAGTAATCTCACGGGGTTGAATCATTTGGTCCTAGTAGATTGCAAGGAGCTTCAGAGTCTTCCAAGCAGCATTCGTATGAAATCTCTCAACACCCTTAATCTTTCTGGCTGCTCGAGTCTTGAGATGTTTCCAGAGATTTCAGAAGTTGTGGAGAAACTATCATGGCTTAATTTGTCTGAGTCAAAAATTAAAGAACTGCCCTCATCAGTTAGTAATCTCACGGGGTTGAATCATTTGGTCCTAGTAGATTGCAAGGAGCTTCAGAGTCTTCCAAGCAGCATTCGTATGAAATCTCTCAACACCCTTAATCTTTCTGGTTGCTTGAGTCTTGAGATATTCCCAGAGATTTCAGAAGTTATGGAGGAACTATCATGGCTTGATTTGTCCAGGTCAAAAATTAAAGAACTGCCCTCGTCAATTAATAATCTCACGGGGTTGAATCATTTGGTTCTAGTAGATTGCAAGGAACTTAAGAGTCTTCCAAGCAGCATTCGTATGAAATCTCTCAATACCCTTAATCTTTCTGGCTGCTCGAGTCTTGAGATGTTTCCAGAGATTTCAGAAGTTATGGAGAAACTATCATGGCTTAATTTGTCCGGGTCAAAAATTAAAGAACTGCCCTCGTCAATTAATAATCTCACGGGGTTGAATCATTTGGTCCTAGTAGATTGCAAGGAACTTAAGAGTCTTCCAAGCAGCATTTGTATGAAATCTCTCAAAACCCTTAATCTTTCCGGCTACTTGAGTCTTGAGATATTTCCAGAGATTTCAGAAGTTATGGAGGAACTATCATGGCTTGATTTGTCCAGGTAAAAAATTAAAGAACTGCCCTCGTCAATTAGTAATCTCACGGGGTTGAATCATTTGGTCCTAGTAGATGGCAAGGAACTTAAGAGTCTTCCAAGCAGCATTCGTATGAAATCTCTCAATACCCTTAATCTTTCTGGCTGCTCGAGTCTTGAGATGTTTCCAGAGATTTCAGAAGTTATGGAGAAACTATCATGGCTTAATTTGTCCGGGTCAAAAATTAAAGAACTGCCCTCGTCAATTAATAATCTCACGGGGTTGAATCATTTGGTCCTAGTAGATTGCAAGGAACTTAAGAGTCTTCCAAGCAGCATTTGTATGAAATCTCTCAACACCCTTAATCTTTCCGGTTGCTTGAGTCTTGAGATATTCCCAGAGATTTCAGAAGTTATGGAGGAACTATCATGGCTTGATTTGTCCAGGTCAAAAATTAAAGAACTGCCCTCGTCAATTAATAATCTCACGGGGTTGAATCATTTGGTCCTAGTAGATGGCAAGGAACTTAACAGTCTTCCAAGCAGCATTCGTATGAAATCTCTCAATACCCTTAATCTTTCTGGCTGCTCGAGTCTTGAGATGTTTCCAGAGATTTCAGAAGTTATGGAGAAACTATCATGGCTTAATTTGTCCGGGTCAAAAATTAAAGAACTGCCCTCGTCAATTAATAATCTCACGGGGTTGAATCATTTGGTCCTAGTAGATTGCAAGGAACTTAAGAGTCTTCCAAGCAGCATTTGTATGAAATCTCTCAAAACCCTTAATCTTTCCGGCTGCTTGAGTCTTGAGATATTTCCAGAGATTTCAGAAGTTATGGAGGAACTATCATGGCTTGATTTGTCCAGGTAAAAAATTAAAGAATTGCCCTCGTCAATTAGTAATCTCACAGGGTTGAGTGATTTGGTCCTAGTAGATTGCAAGGAACTTAAGAGTCTTCCAAGCAGCATTGGGTTTTGGGTAAAACCCAAAACAGAGCCGTTGTGAAAGTTTGACGCGTGTACAACCCCCAATTTCCAAGTAATCAAAATTCAAACCCAATTTGTTATTCGGAATTAAATTTCAGAATTGGGAGATTATATTACCTGAAAAAAGAAATAATTTTCAGGGGTTTTGGGTACACTGTGCTGATAAACACATGGATACGAAGCTCTGTTTTGAAGCAATCAGTCGGTCACTACGCCACATGCGGCGGCCTTCAATTGCTTATTGTGATTATGTCGCGAGGGAGAGGTACATATCTCTACATGTGGAATACATTTGTTACCTGTCTTTTCGTTCGGGTTTGGCGGGTTTCAATTGCTTATGTGCTGCTTTTCTTTCTTATACTTCAGATTTTTGCTTGTGCAGAAACTGTGAAGCTATTGCTATCTATGTCAATTCCCGTTGCTAACTTGCCAATGCCACCGGTGCTCCTCCAATTTTGGGGAAAGGTACTTTGCATTTCCTTTTATCTTAATGTTTCTATATCTGAATTTGTGTACATGACTATATTAGTCTAGATTAGATTGCTTTTTTAGCGTTAGTGGGGTACAATGACGGGTTTTTCAATCTAGTCGTATGTTTCATCAGTACAATCTGCATTCATCAGCATAATTTGTTAACAAAGCTTGACCGACTCTTCTTGACTCATCCCCAAATACTCAAAGTCCCCTCTGCGACCAATGTCTGTCTCTCACAGTCACTCACAATTCCACCGAATGAATAAGTTGCCACGACTCAATCCACTGCAAGCACACCTCAACACCCCAAACGCATCCTCACCATGAACTCCAAAGTTTCACTTTTACTATTTTGGAATTGAAGTGCAGGTCACTTCTTTGTAGTTGTTCTTTTATCTACTATTGTTTTGAAATGAATGAAGAGAGGAGGTTGATGCTGTATATTTGAAGCAATTCAACTTGCCCTGATCCCAGCTTCTTGTGTATGGAAGGAACTTCGGATTGCAGCGTTGTTGCCGGGAAGATTGTGATTTGTGACAGTGGTATTAGGCCCAGAGTGCAGGAGGGACATGAGGTGAAAGATGCAGGAGCCATTGGTATGATTTTGGCAAACACAACTGCTAATGCTGAACAAATGTCTCTATTTTGACTCTTCATACAACTGTCACTAATGTTGGCTCTGCGGTTTCGAATTACCACTCCATAGTTTCGCAGTTCAAAGTTGCTTATGTGAAAGTCGAGCCTCAGACGTTTAACTTCACCAGAGTAAACCAGAAGCTATCTTGTAAGATCACCTTACCATGAAATCCCAGCAGGCGGTTCCGGAATTCGAAGGGTTGGTGTGTGGAAGGATGGAGTGCAAAGGGTGAGAAGCTCTGTTGTTGTAGTTTGGCTACCTCCACTGTGAATCATGCACTGGAGTTTTTTTTTTTTTTTTTTTTTTTTTTTTTGTTGCCCTTTTTGGCATGATTTAATTTCAATATATGTTGTTTATATTAATTATTAATGCTTTTTATTCCGTCCGAGCATTTCAGTCCTTGCAGTACATGAGGCTAGTCAATCATCGTTTACATAGTACTTTCTGCGATCGATCCCGTGCATGTTAATGGCTGCTGCTGCTGCTTTTTCTTCTTCGTCTTCATCCGACAGTCATTGAAATACGATGTCTTCCTGAATTTAAGAGGACTCGAGGCTGCTGCTTCTTCGTCGGCCATCTCAAGTCTCAACAAAGCTCTGGATCAGAAAGCAGTCAACACCTTCATCGACGCCAAAGAGCTTCAAAAGGCAACGACCTTTAGGAGCTCCTGGTAGCTATTTGCGACTCAGGCTTTCGATCCCGAAAACCATGCTTCTTCGACGTGGTGCTTGAAAGAACTTGTCCAGATAATGGAATGCATGGATGCACACAAGCAGATAGTGGTTCCTGTTTTATACGGAGTCGATCCATCTGATATTCGAAAACAGGAAGTTTTGCAGAAGCTTTTGCTAAACGTGAACGTCATTATAACGCTGGCGTGAAGGAGGTGCAGGGCTGGATGTCCGCTATTGTTAGAGCCATCATTTATTCGGTTGGGATTTGCAAAATTACAAGTAAGTTTAATTTTTTTCAGCACTCCATGATCACGTCGAATCCTTATGAAAATGAATCCAGAACAAAATCGCGCTAAAGCTAGGGCGTCACCCGTAAGTGGCACGCTGTGTGGCCCGAGCACAGTGATAAGTGAGCAAGGGTCGCTGTATCTCCATCGGCACCCGGATGCAGTGTTAAATGAGCAAGGGGGCCATAGAAACTTCTTTTCGAACGACTCCACTCAAAGTTGTTTGGGAGCATATGCTCCTATCAACTTTACCCGGGACACACAAAAGAAGTACTTTGATCCTATTAGACGGGGGGGGGAAGGGTGAAGAAGCTAGGACAGAAGGGTAGAGTTCAAGAGAGCAAAATGCGTTTAGGAACGTGGAATATAGGAACCTTAACGGGAAAATCTATGGAAGTAGTGGAAGTTATGGTGAGGAGAAGGATAAATATTATGTGCCTACAAGAAACTAAGTGGGTTGGTAGTAAGGCAAAGGATCTAGAAAACTCAGGGTTTAAACTTTGGTATTCGGGCACAAATAGAACGAGAAACGGTGTTGGCATCATCGTGGACAAGACCTTGGTACAAGATGTTGTAGATGTCAAGAGGGTAGGAGATAGAATCATGGCAATCAAGATTGTAATAGGACAAAAACTTATCAATGTGATTAGTGCGTACGCACCTCAAGTAGGGTTGGATACGAGTTCGAAGGAGAAATTTTGGGAAGATCTTGGAGACTTGGTGCAAGGAATTGCTCAGACGGAGAAGTTATTTATAGGAGGAGATTTAAATGGACACGTGGGCAGGGAGACAGGCAACTATGGAGGTTTTCATGGTGGCCATGGTTTTGGGGAGAGAAACGAGGATGGGGAAGCTATCTTGGATTTTGCAATGGCATATGATCTCTTCTTAGCCAACACCTTCTTTAAGAAGAGAGAAGAACATGTGATCACCTACAAGAGTGGGTCGTCAAAAACACAAATAGATTTTCTTCTAATGAGGAAAGGGGATCGTATAACTTGTAAGGATTGCAAAGTTATACCAGGAGAGAGCGTGGCTAATCAACATCGCTTGTTGGTGATGGATGTACATATCAAAAGAGTAAGACAAAAGAACAAGACTTGGAAGTGCCCAAGGACTAGATGGTGGAATCTAAAAGAAGAAAAACAAGCCATTTTCAAAGAGAAGGTAATCACCCAATGTGTGTGGGATAGAGAGGGGGAAGCTAGCCAAATGTGGGATTCCATGGCTAGTTGTATCCGAAAAGTAGCAAAAAGAGGTATTAGGAGAGTCCAAGGGCTTTGCCCCACACCAAAAGGAATCTTGGTGGTGGAATGAGGAGGTACAAACAAAGGTGAAGGCTAAGAAGGAATGTTGTAAAGCCTTATACAAGGAGAGGACCGATGAAAATGGTGAAAGGTATAGAAAAGCGAAGCAAGAGGCGAAGAAAGCTGTCAGAGAAGCTAAGTTAGCGGCTTACGACGATATGTATAAACGACTAGATACCAAAGAAGGAGAGTTGGATATCTATAAACTATCTAGAGCAAGGGAAAAGAAGACAAGGGACCTAAACCAAGTGAGGTGCATCAAGGATGAGGATGGAAAGGTTCTTGCTACAGAGAACGCGGTTAAAGACAGATGGAGAGGTTATTTTCATAATCTTTTCAATGAAGGACATGAAATGAGTGCTTCTTTAGGGGAGTTGAGTAACTCAGAAGAGTGTAGAAACTACTCTTTTTATCGTCGAATCCGGAAGGAAGAAGTGGTTGTAGCTTTGAAGAAGATGAAGCATAAAAAAGCAATAGGCCCAGACGATATACCAATCGAAGTGTGGAAACTTTTGGGAGAGACAGGTATAACATGGCTCACTGACCTTTTCAATAGGATTTTGAAAACGAAGAAGATGCCAAATGAGTGGCGAACGAGCATTTTGGTGCCTATCTACAAGAATAAGGGCGACGTACAAAATTGCATGAACTATAGGGGTATTAAGCTAATGAGTCATACAATGAAGCTCTGGGAGAGAGTCATTGAGCATAGATTGAGGCAAGAGACACGGGTTTCGGACAACCAATTCGGGTTCATGCCAGGGCGCTCAACCATGGAGGCAATCTATCTCTTACGAAGATTGATGGAAAGATATAGAGATGGGAAAAAGGATTTACACATGGTCTTTATAGATTTGGAAAAAGCGTATGATAGGGTCCCAAGAGACATTCTTTGGAGGATTTTAGAGAAGAAAGGAGTACGAGTAGCATATATCCAAGCTATAAAGGATATGTATGAAGGAGCAAAGACTGCCGTAAGAACTCATGAAGGACAAACCGAAAGCTTTCCCATAACTGTAGGATTACATCAAGGCTCATCCTTAAGTCCTTACCTTTTTGCGTTGGTAATGGATGAGTTAACAGGACATATTCAAGATGATATTCCTTGGTGTATGCTTTTCGCAGACGATATAGTGTTGATAGATGAAACTCAGGAAGGGGTAAATGCAAAGCTTAACCTTTGGAGAGAAGTGTTGGAATCTAAAGGTCTTCGCCTAAGCCGATCAAAGACAGAATATATGGAGTGCAAGTTCAGTGCAAATGGAGGCCAAAACGAGTTAGGGGTGAGGATCGGAGATCAAGAAATACCAAAGAGCGACCGTTTTTCGTTACCTAGGATCTATCTTGCAAAAGAACGGAGAATTAGATGGAGATCTCAACCATAGAATACAAGCTGGATGGATGAAGTGGAAGAGTGCATCCGGCGTGTTGTGTGACCGCCGTATGCCACTGAAGCTCAAGGGAAAATTTTATAGGACGGCAATAAGGCCGGCGATGCTGTATGGCACAGAATGTTGGGCGGTGAAACATCAACACGTACACAAAATGGGTGTAGCGGAGATGAGGATGCTTCGTTGGATGTGTGGGCACACGAGAAAGGATAAGATTAGGAATGAGGATATCCGGGGTAAAGTAGGAGTAGCCGAAATTGAAGGAAAGATGAGAGAAAATCGGTTACGGTGGTTTGGACATGTGCAAAGAAGGCCTACTGACGCTCCGATTAGAAGATGCGACTATGGGACAGAGGTTCAGGGCCGAAGGGGTAGAGGAAGACCTAGGAAAACTTTGGAAGAGACTCTAAGAAAAGACTTAGAGTACTTGGATCTAACGAAGGACATGACACAGATGATCGAGCACAATGGCGTTCTAAGATTCATATAGCCGATCCCACTCAGTGACTTGGATTTTCCAAGTCTCCAACCGAGAAGTTTTCCTCACTCGGGAAATTAAGGGAACACTACCCCAACCTACATGCTCCACTCAGAAAGCTTCAACATACAAGCTTCAACAAAAGAAAATTCAAAGAACTTAGCGAAGAAGGCTTTGGTGTATTTAACACAATACGTTGAAATGAAGGAAAGCTTATTTATTGATATCCCCGATAAGCTACAAATATGTACATATACATGAGTCAAAATAAACACACAAGAGGGAGCCTTCACAAAGGTTGCTTAGGAGAAGTCTCAGCAGTCGGTAGAGCCCCAGAAAGAGAAGGCACCGGAGGGGGATCATTTGGAGCCTCAGTACTGGACAGAACCCTAGAAGGAGGAGGCATCAGAGGTTGATCATTTGGAGCTTCATTACGCGGTACAGCCCTAGAAGACGAAGGCAATAAATGCCTTTGGAACAAACCCACAAATCTCTGATGATCAAGTAAAACCTGACCATCAGTTTCCTTCATCTGGTCAAGCTTCCTCTTCATGTTTGTAGCATAGTCATGTGCGAGCCGGTGCAACTGTTTATTCTCATGCTTGAGCCCTCTAATCTCCTGTTTGAGACTCATCACTTCAGCCGCCAATGATTCAACTTGGCGGGTTCGAGCAAATAGGCGTTGGGCCATATTAGACACAGAACCTGCACACTGAACACTGAGAGCCAGCGAATCCTTAACAGCTAACTCATCAGACCGTTTGGAAAGTAGTCTGTTATCTTTGGGAGTGAGAAGGTTCCTGGCCACCACCGCAGCGGTCATATCATTCTTCATCATAGAATCCCCAACGGTAAGAGGACTAGTAGGGGAGACGAAGGATGGGCGCCATATGTTGTCTGGAGAAGGCGGGGCTGCCTCTTCAACAAGGTTCAAGTCAAAATCGACGGTCGGGAGGGGCCAGACATTTTCAAAGGTGTTGAAGAGAGAAGAGGTCGGACAAATCAAGATCTTAGAAGTGCAAGAATGAAGCTTCTACTGGTGGAGATTCAAGTGTGCTTTGGAACTTAATGCCAGCCCCTATAAAAATCTGCACTCGACGGAGCTTCAGAAATCGAAGAGGCGCCTGCTCAGAAATCGAAGAGGCGTTTGCTTTCTCAAAAGCTGGGCTGCTTAGAGATCACGAGGGTTGATCTCAGAAATCGAAGAGGCGTTTGCTTTCTCAAAAGTTGGGCTGCTCAAAGACCACGAAGGTCGATCTCAGAAATCGAAGAGGCGCTCGCTTTCTCAAAAGCTGGGCTCCCCAGAGACCACGAGGGCCGATCTCAGAAATCGAAGAGGCACCTACTTTTCCAGCCTTTTCCAGCCTTGTCAGCACCTGTCACACGCACACTCAGCTTTGCGGAAATTATGGGCATTCTGTCAAAGACTTCTGGGGAAGTAGAAAACACATGAATCTTACTGTTCAATCACCCACTTCCCACACGCAACAATAGCTCATGGGTACCACAGATAACTTTGCCAAAGTTCTCTGCCAAAGTTGAGCACGTGAAGCTTGCAGCTCCCACTACATCGCTCTGACCAAGAAGGGTAAAAGAATAGCAAAGAAACAGAACTAACAAAGTTTAGACCCATAAATTTTGAAGGTCTAGCTACCATATTATTACCCACAAGGGTAAAGGAACAGTACCACTGCTGGATAATTGGAAAGTCCCTGTGTGTCAACCTCTGTGCTTCGTGGCAAGGTAGACTAGCAAACATGCCCAACCTTTACTCACATTCGAGAAAACACTCCCAATAAGATTGCTTGCTCCAAAATCGAAGAGGCACCGCCCTCCGAATCTCGAGAGCCAGACTCCCAACATGATCACTTTCTCAAAAATCGAAGAGACACTGCTCCCCGAATCTCGAGAGCCAGACCCCCAGCATGATTGCTTTCTCAAAAATCGATGAGGCATCGTTCTCCGAATCAATCGATGAGGCATCGTTCTCCGAATCAATCGAAGAGGCGCTCGCTTTCTCAAAAGATGTGTTGCTCAGAGACCACGAGGGCCGATCTCAGAAATCGAAGAGGCACCTACTTTTCTAGCCTTGTTAGCACCTGTCACACGCACACTCAGCTTTGCAGAAATTATGGGCATTCTGTCGAAGACTTCTGGTGAAGTAGAAAGCACATGAATCTTACTGTTTAATCACCCACTTCCCACACGCAACAATAGCTCATGGGTACCACAAATAACTTTGCCAAAGTTCTCTGCCAAAGTTGAGCACGTGAAGCTTGCAGCTCCCACTACATCGCTCTGACCAAGAAAGGTAAAAGAATAGCAAAGAAACAGCACTAACAAAAGTTTAGACACATAAATTTTGAAGGTCTAGCTACCATATTATTACCCACAAGGGTAAAGGAACAGTACCACTGCTGGATAATTGGAAAGTCCCTGTGTGTCAACCTCTGTGCTTCGTGGCAAGGTAGACTAGCAAACATGCCCAACCTTTACTCACATTCGAGAAAACACTCCCAACAAGATTGCTTGCTCCAAAATCGAAGAGGCACCGTCCTCCGAATCTCGAGAGCCAGACTCCCAACATGACTACTTTCTCAAAATCGAAGAGAGGGTAAAGGAACAGTACCATTGCTGGATAATTGGAAAGTCCCTGTGTGTCAACCTTTGTGCTTCGTGGCAAGGTAGACTAGCAAACATGCCCAACCTTTACTCACATTCGAGACAACACTCCCAACAAGATTGCTTGCTCCAAAATCGAAGAGGCACCGCCCTCCGAATCTCGAGAGCCAGACTCCCAACATGATTACTCCCTCAAAAATCGAAGAGACACTGCTCTCCGAATCTCGAGAGTCAGACCCCCAGCATGATTGCTTTCTCAAAAATCGAAGAGGCATCGTTCTCCAAATCTCGAGAGCCAGATACCACAGACCACTTTTTCAAAGTGCTCTGACAGAGTTAAAACATGTGAAACTAGCAGCTCCCACTACCGTGCTATGACCAAGCAGGGTAAAGGAATAGCATTACTACTTGTTGTTAGGGAGACTCCTATATATGTCGACCTCCATCCCCAACGGACAGGCAGACTTGCAAAAATGCTCAACCCTTCATCATATCTGAGAGGGCACTCCCAACGAAGCCTTTCGAAATATTCAGCTTTCTTTCCCCCCGATAATACCTCTGCAAACAAGCTATACTAGAGCAAGAATATCTCATATCATCAGGGTTAAAAGCAAGAGTATCCCATATCATGCTTTTTCCCTGTCTTTTCTTTTGGCCTTGTTTTTACCTGCAAGACAAGGAGAAAGAGAGCAATCAGTCAGCACTTGGAATCAAGCTTCCAGCCAGGAACTGACTGCCTGGAACCCCTGACCTGATTACTTACCTGGCATTGCTCTCGAGTACTCATCTTCAACATCTTATGTTTCCAGGGAAGATTCCGCATCTGCTTGAGGAACAGATAGGGCAAGTGCGAAGGATACAAGGAAGCATGTGGAGACAAGCGTAACAGCACACGTGCCGATACATCCATTACTCTGTCAAAAGCAAAAGTATCCCATATCAGCAGGGTGGAACGTACTCTAGATTTGATGGACTTGTTTTGACCCTCAAATTCTTCAGTCGGCCTTATACTCTGGAGGAAACCAGAAAACCCTCCAGCTCAGTTCAAGAATAAGCCTGTGGAAAGTTACTTCTTCAAAAGCAAAAGTATCTCATATCATCTCTTCTCATTTTTCTTCTCTTTATCCTTCATGCTGCTGCAAGATGGGGAGAAGGTGAACAATCAGTCGGAGCTCTGATTGCTTACCTTGTCTGTCACCTCTTTCAGCAGACCCCCTAGCTCGGCGACTTGGGGGACTCCTACTACATGGTTTGTATCGCGCTTGACCAAGCCTGAAACTACAAGTAAGCTTCAAGTGAAATTGATACATTACCTTGTGCATCTCCACCAGTTAAAGACACCACCCCTGGATGGAGGAAGAGTACTTCCAGAGAAGATGCCACATCTACCTATGAGACAGATAAGGCAAGTCAAGACGACACCACACTCCGATACTTAGAAGTTTCGTGATTACGAGATCATTCTCCCACAATATTTCCTAATGTCATTTGTACTAAATCATTCACTTGTACTCACTAAAGGAGAGCTTGAAACTATGTACTTGTGTAAACCCTTCACAATTAATGAGAACTCTTCTATTCCGTGGACGTAGCCAATCTGGGTGAACCACGTACATCTTGTGTTTGCTTTCCTATCTCTATCCATTTATATACTTATCCACACTAATGACCGGAGCAATCTAGCAAAGATCACAAAAAGCGACCGTTTTCGTTACCTAGGATCTATCTTGCAAGAGAACGGAGAATTAGATGGAGATCTCAACCATAGAATACGAGCTGGATGGAAAGAGTGCATCCGGTGTGTTGTGTGACCGTCGTAGGCCACTGAAGCTCAAGGGAAAATTTTATAGGACGGCAATAAGGCCAGCGATGTTGTATGGCACAGAATGTTGGGTGGTGAAGCATCAACACGTACACAAAATGGGTGTAGCGGAGATGAGGATGCTTCGTGGGATGTGTGGGCACACGAGAAAGGATAAGATTGGGAATGAGGATATCCGAGGTAAAGTAGGAGTAGCCGAAATTGTAGGAAAGATGAGAGAAAATCGGCTCCAGTGATTTGGACATGTGCAAAGAAGGCCGACTGACGCTCCGGTTCGAAGATGTGACTACGGGGCAGAGGTTCAGGGCCGAAGGGGTAGAGGAAGACCTAGGAAAACTTTGGAAGAGACTCTAAGAAAAGACTTAGAGTACTTGGATCTAACGGAGGACATTACACAAAACCGAGCGCAATGGCGTTCTAAGATTCATATAGCCGACCCCACTTAGTGGGAAAAGGCTTTGTTGTTGTTGTTGTTGTTGTTGTTGTTGCACTTGTTGCTAAAGTATTTTTACCGTAGAAATATCATAACTTGAAAGTGTTCTTTTTCTTGATCAAGGTTAGCTGGATATTGTTAATTACCTACCTATATGTATCGAACAAATCCACGATTTTGGTCACGGCTAACATCCTTAAATTTAAATGGCTAAACGTTAACCAATTTGGCCATATATATGCTCAAGAACATGAACAATTCAGATTATGACATTTGTGCGGTTAAAGTATGTTAATTGCAACTTGCAAGCAAGTGAACATGCATTCCTTTGACTATTTTGGGCTTGTTATAAAACTCAGGTTTGATAATTCTATAACTTCACAGGGATGATGCCAATTTGAAGCTTTGACTCTTTTGTGATGAAATCGCTTGTCAATTTGAAGCTTGCTGCTTTCTCTAAAATGTCAAGGAAGGCTTCTCGGATAATGGTGATGTACATCTCTTCAGATAACCACTCCTTTGCTAGGCAGCGTTTGGAATGGCCGAGAGCGGACCTTTTTGGGAGCGATGACCCCAACAGTTTGGAAGATATGTTGAGAAAAGGTTTTAGCACCGGTATATCCATGCAGGAACTGCTTCTTTCTAGAATCTTGAAGGGAAAATGCGGAGTTTTCATTGATCTTGATGATGTTGAAAAATTATCCCAAATTGAGGCCTAACTTGGAAAGCAGCATTCATTTGGTGGTGGAAATCAGGTCATTGTTGTTGAATTTGTGGCCGAATTACATTGGGCCTTTGCGTTTGATAAGCCCAGTGGCCCAAAATTAGTCAGGTGTTTAATGGCCCATGTGAAAGCCCACAATTGGGGCATGTGATTAACTTTGTGCTTTGTATAGAGAGGAAATTAATAATTGTATTTCCTTCTCTATTTGTTTCTTTGGTGTGTGAGAGTTATTGGGTGTATTGGGGTTTTGGAATGTGAGATTGCTGAACATTTTGTAACACTTCCATTTCCATTTGGTTGATAGTGGATTATTGGTGAGCTCCTATAGCTCCGAGGACGTACTCCAGTTACACTGACTGTTGAGGAACCTCGTTAAATCCTGGTGTCTTTTCAATTTTATTCTTGCATTTTATTTGGTATAATTCCTACGAGTTAGCTTGAGTTGGTTTCCAATTGGTTTGATCTATTCTTGCACAACAGTTATAACAACTAGAAATATGCAATTACTAAGTGGAGTTGATGCTATAATTGTATATAAGCCCAAGAACTTAAGTGAGTCAGAAGCTCTTGAACTCTTCAAGCAGTATGCCTTCAGAACAAACCAACCCACAAGAGATTATGATTGCCTATCGAGGCTTGCCATACAACATGCTCATGGCGTGCCTTTAGCACTAAAAATCTTGGGAGCATTGCATGTTTCTTCAAAGGGATGGAGAAAGAATATGTCACTAAAATTCTTGATAGCTGAGGCTTTTATCCCCATAGTGGATTAGGAGTTCTAGTTAACAGAATTCTCATCAATATCTCAGATTACGATATGTTTGAGATGCATGATTTACTGCAAAAAATGGGGTTGGAAACAGTCCGCCAAGAATTTAATAGAGTCTGGAAGACGAAGTAGGTTATGGATTTATGAAGATGTTCATTGTACATTAACTCAAAATACGGTGAGATATATTCATTACCTCTTTGTATGCAATATTGAGTATAGAAAGCTGAAATATGATTGCACAGCTTTGGAAACAGTTTCAACACCAAAGCCTCATAATATGAATCCTTACTTCACATTTGCTACATTCCTACAGCTGGTACAAACAATTCAGGGATATTGTGGAAACTTTCTCATCATCAGGTCTCCGTCTCTCTCTTATGTACACAAGTAGAACACAAATTAAGTAAGCCGTTGTTTGTATTGTTGCAGCAGGGTAATCAGCTCCAGCTTCTTTCCTTAAATTTGTCTCTTCCAGGAAGTGAAATTCATAACAAGGTATTGGGGTTCGCTATATGCGCTGTTAGTAAATTCAGGGGTGCTCATTATTGTGCATCTTATCTCTGTTCGATGTTTTTGCACCTTCAAAGGAGATCGTGGTGATTTCAATTACAATTTCTATATGGTCGATAGGGGATCCAGAGTCAGATTCCTTGAATTTTTTTTTATTTCACAAGCAATTTGTGAAGTTCTAGTAGTTTTGTAGCTAAAATCATATACATCAAAGATTTCGGAGTAGTACCGTTACTACCGCAACATCAAATTAGAAGCCAAACAACTATTAATCTCTTGTTTTCTGCCGACAATGCTATTGGATATGGTACATATGTAAGATACTTACACTTAACCGGCAATATTTATGTTCACCCTAACTCACTCTTCATGTAAATACGGAGATCGGGATATATTTCCAGTTTACAAAGAAGTTGTTGGGTAGGCAAGTGTAGATTCAACATAGTACTTTGACCCTTCCTTCGCATTTTCTTAGGTCAAAACCAAAGTACGCAAATTTCTTTTACACTGAAATTTCTTGAAGGAAGATGCAAAAATACATAAATAAATTTTCCTTTTTGGCGTGAATTGATTCCATATGTGTTTTATTAATGTTTTTGAATAAACAAATTTTCAATGTAAAGTAATGCATTTTTCGTGTGCTAATCAATCATCTGATGAAATATATATCAGATATCAAGTTGTTATCAAATTGCATATTAAATGGCATGACATGGTTTGTGCATTAGAGTTGTCAGGATTTCCATCTTGCCTGCAGGTGTTGGAAATCACTATGAAAGTACCTGGTATGGTGCATAGATCAGTGTCAAAAACATATTAATTCATCTTGCTCACAAGTGTTGAATTAATTTATTTTATGAAGTTTTGGGATATTTTACTTGGACATGTGCCTATTTGGTATTTTCAGTTGTGTCTGTTGGTTACAAACATTGTTTGTATTGTTATTGGTCTAATGAAAGTGATGTATGATTGTTTTGGAGATGTATTCACACCTACAGGTTATGGTGATTTCATTAGATGAAGGATATCTGCATTGGCAGATTTAAGGCTTCAAAGAAGCATAAAGTGTAACTTGTGAGTTACAATAAGGTGAACCTGAGATGATATAAAGTAAGACATTCTGATTAATTTAAAGTTTAATTTAAAGTTTAATCTCTTGATCATAATTTGTATTTCATGTGAATATGAGGATCTTAGCATGTGTGATTATGAAGGTTCTAGGTTGTGTCAACTCTACAACTTTATTAGTTCCACGTTAAGAAATGCATTTGACAGAAGCTGCATTAAGGACGAGATTTAATCACTGTTACATGGCCACTAAAGTGACATTAGTCTCCAATCTCAAGTATAAACATGAATATTACATTTTGTAGACCAAGTGGGAGAATGTTGGATTTATCCAATATAAATCAACCTTTAAGTGGTTTACTACATGTAATAGGAATGTAATATTGGAGAATAATGTTAATTGTGATTTGATCTCTTAAAGATATCAATCCTATATAAGGTGTCTTATATTGGAAATAGGATTGATGGAATCTTTAATTGAATATGATTATGATACTTGACTTGGAGGCTAATAAAATAAGTTTAGGTTTCCTTTATGGATGGAAACCCTAGCTTTTAGCTTATATAAAAACACCGGTCTCTATAAGCTCTAGAACACACAACATAATGCTTCCCATAGAGTAGTTGTATTCGGCTAGGAGTTTATAGAAGATCTTGATGTTGCCATGCTTTGCTACTTTTGTGTTCAACTTCCATGGCCGCCGTTGGAATCAGGTCAGTCAATCCTTCATTTGTGTTTTAATTATATAACCTTATAAGTTTGCCGTATGGGTGGTTTAGGCAAAACAACCATTGCTATAGCTGTTTATGATGAAATCGCTTGTCGTTTTGAAGCTTGTTGCTTTCTTGAAAATATCAAGGAAGGTTTCATGAAGCAAGGCAAACTACATATGCAGGCAGAACTTCTATCTAGTATCTCGAACAACAAGGAGGGGAGTTCCGACATTTCGAAGAAAGGTTTCCAGGTGATATTAAGTAGCCTAGGTCAGAGAAAAGTTCTTATTGTTATGGATGATGTGGACGCATTAGAACAAATTGAAGCTTTACTTGGAGGGCAACGGTTCTTTGGTGGTGGAAGTAGAATCATTATAACAACTAGAGATTCGCAATTACTAAGCTTAGTTGATGCTATTATACATATAAACCCAAGATTTTGAGTGAGCCACGAGCTCTGGAACTCTTTAGGCGGTACGGCTTCAGAAAAAACCAACCCATAAGAGATTATTATATTCTCTCGAGTCGTGCAATAAAATATGCTGAAGCTCTGCCTTTAGCACTCAAAGTCATAACAAAACTGTACGTGAGTGGGCAGATGCATTAGAGAAATTAAAAGATACCCCGCAAAGCGGGATTAATGAAGTGATAAGAACAAGCTTTGATGGACTAGATCATAAAGAGAAGAAGATCTTTCTAGATATTGCATGTTTCTTTAAAGGAATAAAAAAAGACTATGCAACAGAAATTCTGGATACAATCCTCATGCTGGGATAAGAGTTCTAAGGGATCGAGCACTCATAACTGTCTCATGGGAGGGGGAACTTGAGATGCATGATTTACTAGCGGAAATGGGTTGGGAAATAGTTCGCCAAGAATCTATCGAAGAGCGTGGGAGACGAAGTAGGTTGTGGAGTTATGAAGATGTCCATCATGTGTTAACTCAAAATAAGGTGAGAAATCATTTTCTTATGCAATGCTTAGTAGAGAACTTCAACTTTTGACCAAAATCTATTTCTTAGGGCTATTTGATAAACATTTTTGTTTTCAATGTTTATTTTTCATTTTTTTTAATAAGGGGGTTTTTAACTTTAATCATTCAAGAAGATTGAAATTTAAAATAAACCTGGTGCTAGATTACATATTGATTATAATCCATTGATGTGTCCTCAATTCAAAATAATTAACGTGCATTTTATTTAATGTATATAAATTTATTAATATACAAATATTCATTTATTTTTTGACCAAAAAAGAGTTTTTTAATTTTTAATTTATTAATTTTATTTAACATTCTTCGACTCAATTAATGTACCGAAATGTATTATATTGAACTAATGTTAGTACCGAAATGTATTATATTAAATTAATGTACCTAAATATGTGTACCGAAATGTATGCATCAAAATGTATTATATTGAATTAATGTACCTAAATGTTTGTATCGAAATGTATGTACCTAAATGTATGCATCGAAATCTATTATAATGAATTTAATGTACCTAAATGAAGAAAACAAAATACATCGAAATATATTGTAGAACAAAAATTAGTTTCTCTAAATGTTTACAACAAAATATATTACGATAAATAAAATGAAAATGAAATAAAATTAATAAATTAAAAATTAGGAAGAAAAAATGAAATAATTAAAAAATCAAAATATAATTAATAAATGAGATTATTAATGTATCAAGGGACTAAAATTAGATTTTGATCTTACTCATGATTTTAATCTAAAGGTTATCTTTGCCAAGGATTAAAATGAAGTTTTCTATTTTAATAATTGAAAATTGAAAACAATTACCAAACAAGTTGTGTGTTTTCAATTTTTAGATTTCTAAAAAAGATAATCAAAACAAAGTTGAAAACTGAAAACGAAATGATTATTGAATGGCTCCTTAAGAAACAAGCATTAACTTCATAATCCAAACTAAGGCTCTCTGTTTTTACCTTCATTTTTATCTGCACAGGCTACAGAAGCAGTAGAAAGCATAATCCTGAATTTGTGGAACTCAGATGAGGTATGCTTAAATGCTGAAGGTTCTGTTATTATGACTCAACTAAGACTTCTCAAGATCACACAAAATCGTTACTGCAAACAACACCTGATTGGGCACTTAAAGTTTCTTTCTCGTGAGTTGAGGTGTCTCAGCTGGATAGGTTCCCCTAGGCCTGGCAATTCCTGACACGACCCGATAACCCGACACGACACGACACGAAATTAACAGGTGTTCGGGTCGACACGATAACGAAACGGGTCGTTATCGGGTAACCCGATAAGCACCTGTTAAGATAACGGGTTTGTTCGGGTATACACGTGGGTAACACGATACACGATAAACAGAATATTAATTTAATAATTTATAACCCTAAAAAAATACTATAATAATTATATATATATTAATTTAACAATTTTATACCCCTAAAAACTATAATAATTATATATATATATATTAAATTAACTATAATAATTATAATATATATATACTACAATAATTATACCCAAAATATTAACTATAATAATTATATA